TACTGGCTTTAACTACAACACATACCCTAGGTCCAATGCGTTTTCTGGAACTCTGTAATTTAATGGTGAGTCTGTGTCTGCTTAGATGCTTTGAAGCATCCAACTGTCTTATCCAAAGCTCCAGTGACTCTTTCCATGAAATTGGTTCCATCTTGTCTCATCCATTCAACGACTACAAGGTACGACGGAATGGGGGCCAAGTTACTCCCAAGTACACTCAATGTCCAGAAGCAACAGGTGTCACACTCCACAAACAACAGAAACAACTAATACTGAAACTCTTAACAGGTTAGGACATTATTCTTTTCACCCTCTCCAATCCTCAACACAGCGCTTGCACAGAACAAGATGTACTCAAAACAAAACTGTATCTATATATAGCTACCTATAGAACTTCTAAAACTGAGAAACTTTCCCCAAATAAGTTTAAACTAAGAAATATAAAGCACCAAATGTCATATGAAAACCTTACATTTAAATGAAAAGCCTATTTCAAAATGCTTTAATTAAAATAAGATCTTATGAGGTGATACTTTTTATCACTGACCTTTTTACCAAGATCTTATGAGACTACACTCTTTCAACTAATATGTAAAAGCAAGCTAAAAACAAAATACTTCTTAAAACCTTCATAGGGCATTGGAAAGATACCTAAGTACCATATCTTCTGCTTTAGTACAATGGTAATTTAAAACAAATTATACTGAATGAAACTCTGCATTAAAATTCTCTTAGAGGATCAAAAAGGTGATAAAGAAATAAGCCTCTTAACAAATGAGATTTTTTCTTTGCTAATTTACAGTATCAGAAAAATTGGCAATCTAACTGATTTGAAGCTCTCCTTTTTCCTGATACTTTAAAAATCCCCAACCGCTTACTTACTCTCTAGATCCTAATATATATGGCAAGTACAAACAAGAATCAAGTTAAACTGCTGTCCTCAAGGACTTAATCTGGTTAGGGAGACAAGCCACAGGTAAATAAAGGTCGTCCAAGGCAATGTAAATAACAAATAATTGATTCAGCAAAAAAAAAAAAAAAAAAAAAAAAAAAACTGTACAAACTTAAAAGAGGAGAAAAATACTGTCTAACATGGTGAGAAAAAGCATCCCTTAAATTTCAGAATAGATGAACTTGCGTCAGAGCAAAACTAGGAAAGAATTCAGATAGCCAGAAGATGGGAAGAGTATTCTAAAACTGGTTCTCAAAGCATAGGCTGAGTACCACTAGGTAGGGTCCTTTAGACCCTTTCAGGGGTCCATGAGGTCAAAAGCTGTTTTCATGATACCACAAAGA